AGGGAAGTAGTGGAGTCTCCATCCCTAGAGATATTTAAGTCTCGGCTTAACAAAGCCCTGGCCAGGTTGATTTAGTTGGAATTGGTCCTGCCTAGAGCAAGGGGCTGGACTTGATGACCTTCTGAGGTCTCTTCCAGTTCTATGATTCTATGATTCTATGATTTACCTGTACTTAAGGTCTGATACTTGTATTCAGTGGGGGCAGTAGAGCTGAGGGCTAGGAGACATACCTGCAGTACTTCTGATCAAACCAAAGCACTAAAAATTGCAGGATAGCCCCAGTGACGTGCAGGCTATCCCCACTACTATTCCCTCTGAGACCCATAGGTACTTGAGACAATGAGACCATCTTACCCTAATGCAACTGCAGTTACTCCACTATTTTTAGTGCACTAACTTTGTCAGTGCTATTGTGGGTATTAGGGATGTCAATGTCTTGCCCATCCTGGTCAATAGCCATGAATGTATCTAGCTCTTTTTGAACCCTGTTAAAGTCCTGCTTTTTGCAACGTCCTCTGGCAAGGAGTTCCACAGGTTGACTGTGCACTGAGTGAAGAAATACCTTCTTTGGTTTGTCTTAAATTTGCTACCTTTTAATTTCATTTGGTGACCACTAGGTCTTGTGTCATGGTAGTAGTGCTTGTGTTCATACTAAGATTGGTTCCCAACAGCTCCCTGGCTTTGTGTATCCTGCAACTGTACCAACATGATCCTGTAAAGTAAACTGAGCAGGACCTGGTGAGCCCTGGCATATTCCGGATGATGCTTCTGTCTAATCTCAGCAGAACCAGCTGAACTAGTAGGGGCAAATAATGAAGCCAACAGTGATTTAGAGTTGTGGGAAAGAATAAGTTGCATCACCTGTGGCTCAGGTGGCCCACCACGGACAGAGGTTCTTACCATTAATGCCTCTCTTCCCTGCAACCACCGTGATGTATTCCTCCCAAATTCTGTCCATTCTTGGCTAGCTACCAATAAAACCATGTACCAGTGCACCCAGATATCACCAGCTGCTCTGAGCATGATCCCTCAGCACTCTAAATCAACGTCTGGAATGCCAAAGCACCCTGGAAATGCAGGTTTGATACTCTGAGCAACCCTTTGTCCTTCTGAAGTAGATACATTAAACGCCATGAGATACAGCCTTTCACATGGGTCCTTCACAACACAGACAGACCAAAACCCTGGCTCACACACTTCCCGATCCCAGGATATGAATTCTGTGGCTTGAGCCCAACCCTACAGCCCTCTGAAAGAAGTAAAAAATAATCATTCTTTGCATACGTGTAGCATCTTCTAGGTGGGGCGGGGCCTTTTGTCCCTCTTTTACAGATAAAGGACTGAGTCACAAAAGGTAGCTTAAGGGTGCGTCTAGACCAGTGTTTCTTAAACTTTTTACGATCCGTGGAACACCAAATAATCTTTTTTTTTTATGCGGAACACCGGGGGAAAGTTGTTGAGAGAAAAAAAAAAAAGCGGTCACAGCCCCTTTAATTGCCACGCGTGTTGTTCCAACTGAGCTTCCGTCTGCTGTGGGGAAGAAAAAAAAGTTAAGACAGGCCACGGTACACCTCCAGCTGTCTCACGGCAAACCGGTCTGCTGCAGCACACAGTTTAAGAAACACTGGTCTAGACTACATTCCTCTTTTGAAAGAGGAAGGCAAATGAAGGAAATCAAAAATGCAAATGAAGGGCAGATTTACAAATCTCGTGCTTCATTTGCATAATTGTGTCTGATCGCTTTTTTTGGAAAAAAAAAGTCTAGAAGTGGTTCTTTCAAAAAAACCCAACCCTTTTTCGGAAGAACCCTGTAAACCTCATTTTTTCAGGAATAAGGGTTCTTTCGAAAAAGGGTTTTTTTTTTTTTTGAAAGAACCGTGTCTAGACTGCTTTTTTTTTTCAAAAAAAGCGTTTTTTGAAAAAGCGATCAGACACAATTATGCAAATGAAGTGTGAGACTTGTAAATCTGCGCTTCATTTACATTTTCGATTTCCTTCATTTACATTCCTCTTTCGAAAGAGGAATATAGTCTAAATGCACCCTAAGTGACTCTCACATTGAAAAAGGAATTTCCTACCAGACCTAGGATTCCTGCCGACACAATTTCATAGATTTCATATGATAATCTAATCTGTCTCCTGCATAAATAGGCCATAGAATTTCACCAAATGAGTCCTAATCAAGCCGCAAATTTCTAAAGGAGCACATGACACCTTTGAGAAAGATAGCCAATCTGGATTTAAAGTCTCCATGTGGTCAAGGACCCTCCACATCCTTATGTAAGATGTCCCAATGGCTAATTATCCACACAAAATTAGTCATAGCCTGATTTTGTCTAGCCTCGGTTTGAACAACTAAACCTTGTTATTTCCCGACGCAGGTTTCTGAGCCTTTCCAATTTGTCAACAACCTTTAAACGTGTGGTTAAACTGTAAATCTCTCTGCCTTAAACCATAAGACCACAAGTTCTAAGGCCAGTTGTAGGCTAATGGGGAAGGTCGAATTAAGATATGCAACTCCAGCTTTGTTAATTACGCAGCTGTAGTCAACATACCTTAATTTGAGTTTCTGTGCAGTCTTCACAGTGAAAGGTTGATGGAGAAACACTCCCATCAGCTTCCCTAACATCTCACAAAGAGCAGCAGTACCAGCACCTTCCGAGTTTGATTTAACAGGTCTTTATTAGACCCACTAAATCACAATCTGGAAGATCGATCGTGGCAACATTGATCTTCCGTGTAGTGAAGACATGGCCAGAATCGTATCCTATATTTAGTACAGCACTAAGATTAATAAGTAATAAACAACAGAAGCAATACTAGTTATTCCACCCGAGTAGTACTAGGTAGGTAACTATTAACCCAGTAGTAAATAATGATACTTTTTCAAATCCTGGTGACTACGTATGATTTTCAGAAAAACAGGTTTACTGACACACCGGTCAGCTACTCCAACTTTGTTTCCCTCCTCTTTCTTGTGTAGTCCAAGTCTGACAACTTCAGCTGGCATTTCTCCTCAGCCATATGGAATCATCACAACTAGGAGTGCCATTTCTGGAGCTGCGTAGTCTAGCAGCTAGAGTTGAATACTGAAAGCCAAGACATCTGAGTTCTTTTCCAAGTGCTATCATAGATGCTTTGCATGGCTGGCCTCTGGCCAACCTTGGACCCTTCTTGTGCTTCAGTTTCCCTAATGTAAAAATGAGGATGATAGCACGTACCTAACAGTAGAGTGTGTTGTAAAGGACTCTGTTAGAACTTCAGATGACATGCATGAAAGAATTCAGTATTATTGCATATAATGATTTTGAAGCTGAATTCCATTGAATCCCAGGAGTATCTGCCAAGCCCTTTAAAAGTATGCCCACCTCTCCCGTAATGAAAGGTCATCTCTGTTTCAGTCAAAGCTGTTCTGCAGAGAGGCCTTCAGCTCCATAATTACCTATTTGTTTACTCGGCACTTTAAGAAGCCAATACAGAGGGCATGGGTAGCTCAGCTGGGAGATGTCCATGCAAGCATATGCTGGTGTCTGTCAAAACTATCTAACACTTTTCTGCTGGATAGATGATGAAGCTGTTTTACTGAGCCAGCAGGATATTTACGAGTTATAAATTTATTCAATAAAGCGCGGTATTTATGTGTTTCTCCCAATCTGTCTCCCCTTAAACATAAAGCTTCCTACATGTGCACAGAAAATCATATTGATAAGGTCATTAGCTATATTAAAATGTATTTATTATATCAACCAGAAATGGGACTAAGGCAAACCTCCAGATTAAAACACCCCCAAACATGGGGGAATGCCAGATTGGAACTCGGATCTGAATGCTATGGATCAGCCTCTTCTGTCTGATAATAAATAGTTTAGTCAGGTTGAGGATTATCACTATATGATTTCATAGTCATCTTACAAATATATTAAAATCTAATTGTACCTTCAACCCGGGGTGCTAATCAAAAGGAAATCCTGTTATTTAGGGGGATTTCTGTCTAGGAAATAATCCAAGTTGGTATTAGCCTCTTGAAATTGGAAAAGTCAGGAAAAGAGTATTAGCACAGGTTGCATGAATGCAGCAGACTTTGCAATCCGCAAAAATGTAATACAACTACTTGCAAATCATGCTAATGTAATACCTTTCCAGGAAACTAGCGAGGGGCGCCAGGCTACCATGCTTCCCGTTGATTTTAATGGGACTATTTTCAGGATCTCTGACTACTCCGTATGAAGAAAAGGGTCTGAATAGACTTCTTTCTTCACAAACACAGAGCACCTTTGCTTTCTGCCACTCTGTGAAATTTAAGGAGGCCCTAATAAGCCAGTGATAGATTATTTCTCACTTAATTACAGCATTTTTTGGCATTTGGAGAACTATGCCATTGCATGCAGTTCCACACTGCCCTAAGTAATACTGAAGAGTATTAAATAACTTTGAAATAACTTTCAAAAACAAGAGGTTCTGGCATATTGCTCTGAACTACAAACATTTTATAATGAACCAGATATCATTCCCACCCCGTAATCCCCACATAGGCAAAACTCCCTGTGGACTCAATGGAAGTTTGGCCTTTATAAGGCCTAGCATAGCTTTTGCAAGGTTGTTGATACCAGCAAAAACATCAGTGGGAAAATATCCTTCTTTCTGATTTCTCTCTGTGCCTTTTGCCTTCTCCTATCTGGCCCCCTTTATGCCAGCTGCTTTTTGTGCTGTATGGAAACAGCTGAAGAGCAGTGTGCTAAATATGCTCACAGATCTATACTGTGGAAGTGCATCATGCATTTAAGATAAGGCCTCAACGAAATGTGACAATGAGGTGTATTTTCAGGCTAATATGAAAACTAAATTGACGTGTTGAATCTTGTAAGATCAAGTGCAGTGGGAGCAAGAATCACATTTTTTCCAGCATGTTTTTTCTCTTCCTAAAAGACGTCACTAAGAATAGCCTGACATTTTCTCCCATGCATTTTTGGGGTGGATGCGGAATGAATGCAAGCACCTACCTCCTGTCAGAGTTATCTTCCCACAGCTCCTCTCCTTGGTAACTTGTTCTTGGATGTAAAACTGCTTTGTGCAGAGCCGCCATAGCCCGAAGTGAGCAGCCTCACAGGTGGAATTGTAATGCTCCACTTTATGGCTTAGCACTGCCCAGTGATCAGTCACCACAGCTGCAAACATTAAAGAGACGCCAACCAAAATAACAGAGAAAGTCACCCGAATTTTCAGTGCTTTGCCTTCGTCCATGGCTAGGCTGCACCGGAGCGCATAGGGCAGACTCTTTCGGTGATTACTGCCCTGCCGAGTTTTGTTTGTCTACTTGAAGGAGAGCTGCAAGTTATTCAAGTGGTCTTCCAAAGTCTTGGCGTGTCTAAGCATTTCCAAATAGATTCCAAATGTCATCCGTGTGTTGCAAAAGTAGAGCAGGTTGTGGGCTGGCTTGGACAGCTGGCCACATGTACAGCTGTTGAAATATATCAGGAGACAGGGTGACTAGACTTGTGAGTGGGGCTTCTATTAATGCACCTAATGAATAAAGTAACTGCGGGAGCTCCAGTTACAAGCTTGTCCCTGCTGGGTTTGTGCAGCAAGTTCCATAAGCCAACTGAGAGCAAAGCTAGCTCCGTGTAATTAATATCCACAGCCATGAGACCATTCCCTTCTCACTCAAGGCATGGCTGGGAACAGAGACCGGTGCAAGCTTTTTTAGAAGGTAAAAGCATTTGTCTTTGTGATAAAGATGGGGGCGAACCCACTTTTCTTCCACAGAATCCATTATTGGTTCTAACGATACCCTCCCCTACACCCTGATGCTGGAGTGTTTCAGGGGCCCAAACACACCAAAACTTTGGTGGAACTGGAATTGTCTCTGATTTCAGAATAGAATTTTGTGGTTCAGCCTCGTTTTTACTACACATAATTCAGTGGCACTGAGACCAGTGAGAGAGAGAATGAAGTCTACACTGCAGCTTTAGCTACAAGTCGGTTGGCTTTTAGATCGTGAGGTAGAAGCTCATGACTTTAGCGCCTAAAGTCCTAGGTTTAATCCCATGACAACATACGAATGGCCATACTGGGTCAGACCAAAGGTCCATCTAGCTCAGTATCCTGTCAGCCAACAGTGGCCAATGCCAGGTGTCCCCAGAAGGATTGAACAGAACAGGGAATCATCAAGTAATCTCTGCTCTGTCATCTATTTTCAGCTCCAGACAAACAGAGGCTAGGGACACCATTCCTACCCATCCTGGCTAATAGCCATTGATGGACCTAACGTCCATGAATTTATCTAGCTCTTTTTTGAACTCTGGTAAAGTCCTGATCTTCACAACATCCTCTGGCAAGGAGTTCCACAGGTTGACTGTGTATTGCATGAAGAAATACTTCCTTTTAACCCACCTATGAATCCCACCTGTCTACACCCCAGGGCCATGGAACCACCGTGCCCACTATCTACAGACCAGGACTACTGAAAACCTTTCATGCTATCTGTGAACACTTGGTTTAGGTATTCATCAGCCAAAATTAACAATCAGCCACGAGTCTGACCAAGGAATGTCTGCAGCACCACTGAAAGAGAATCTCTTCACCCGTCAGCAAGCGCCTACTTGGGGCTGGAGTGGGGAAGGATACAAATTAAATACAACGCTGAGGGGAAAAGCATTTTCCACAGCCCAACAGTTTTTCTCTTTTTCCAGGCTCGCCTCCCAAAGGACCGTAACTAAAAGAGCTAGCGTGTGGCCGGCTCAGTAGCTGCTGGTATGCTGCTGTGCATATCTGGCAAATAGGTGACTGAAGCCGGGTTTGTCAGCAGGCCATCAATGCTTGTTTCATGGAGGTGGGGCGGTACCTGGCCCTTGTGCTCCGCTCTGTCGCATCGCGCTTTGTCTTCTACCAGTGCGCGTGTGTGGTAGGTTTTTAGCCGGCCTTGGTTGTGGTCTTGAAAATAGAGTAAAGAGCCACAGTTGGCTTCTTGCAGAGAAGAGAAGTAGAACGAGCCTAGAAAAGCAGAATGATTTGATCTCAAACACATCACTGTCCTAAAGCTATAGCTGGCGATTATGGTACTTTCCCCTCTGTGCTGGGGTATACAACCCCATCCCGGGCAGCACAGGTGAATGAGCTAATATGGTTTCAGGTGGCCCTGCTCCCTCACATCTGAGAGGTGTCAGAATTGGATGGAGGAGCTTCAAAGGGAGAAACACAGCTCAGGTGAGGGCAGTCCATGGAAGAGAGCAGACCTTCAGCCCTCTGCTCCTGAAGAGAGGGCCAGGAGAAGACAGAAACTCCTCTGATAACTGGGTGAGCTGGCCAGCCAGTTAGCTAGATGTTACATAAGAATAAGAACATACAAAGGGCCATACTGGATCAGAACAAAGGTCTGTCTAGTGCAGGATCCTGCCTTCTGACAGTGGCCAATGCCAGGTGCCCCAGAGGAAATGAGCAGAACTGATAACCATCAAGTGATCCCTCCCTGGTCACCCATTCCCAGGCTCTGCCAAAAAAGTCAGCATCCCTGCCCATCCTGGCTAATAAGCATTGATGGGCCTATCCTCCATGAATTTATATAGTTCATTTTTGAATCCTGTTAAAGTCCTGGTCTTCACAACATCCTCTGGCAAGGAGTTCCACAGGTTGACTGTGCATTGCATGAAAAAATACTTCCTTTTGTTCGTTTTATACCTGTGACCTATTAATTTCTTATATTATGGGAACAAGTAAATAACTTTTCCTTACTCACTTTCTCCACACCAGTCATGATTTTATAGACCTCCATCATATCCCACCTTAGTCTCCTCTTTTCTAACAAGACAAAAAGTCCATGTCTTTTTAATCTCTCTTCATATGGCAGCAGTTCCAAACCTCTAATCATTTTTGTTGCCCTTTTCTGAACTTTTTCCAATGCTAAAATATCTTTTTTGAGATGAGGCGACCACATCTGTAGGCAGTATTCAAGATGTGGGCAAAACATGGAGTTATACAAAGGCAATGAGATATTCTCTGTCTCATTCTCTATCCCTTTGTTGTATTTCCTTGTCTTGAGAGGGAACTTTACCTCTCTTTTCACCTGTAAATTCAATTTAGGGCCACAGCGTGATGAGAAATCAGCCTGAAGAAACTGAATCTTAACCCAGAGTTGGGATGTTTCATTTGTGTTACTTTCCCTTTTGTTCTATTTTTTTTACAGTTGTGGACAGGGTGGATGATCCAGGGCCCAGCCAGAGGGCTGAGCCTCAGAGGACTTGAACTGGTGTGAGAACACTGCTTGGACATCACAAAGCAGAGGCCTGGCTGAGTGTTGGTGCCCCACCGAGAGCCTGGTGGGATTGTGGTGGCAGGGGGAATGTTGCAGGGAAGGAACCCTGGGGACCCGTTGTGACGGTGCGTTGGGGGTCCCCGTCTCCTGCACCCCGAAATGGCACAAACAGACTGCACCAGCCGGTGTAATAGAGGAAGTTTATTGCCTCTCCAGGATACAGCACAGCACAGATGTAATCTGGTCACAGAGCTGGGCTAGGATGCCTCAGGCCCCCTTGAGATGGGGGAGACTGGGCCCCTAAACTCCAGTCCCTTTCCCTAGGCTGTCTCCTCCATGCTTCCAGCCAGCAACTCACTCCCACTCTTCCAGCCCTGCCCCCCAGCCAGGGCAGCATTCCACCTTCCTTTGTTCCTCTCCATGGGGGGTGTCTGGCCACTGGTTTGCATAGTGACTCATCCTGTTTTGCTGGGTCGTGGTACCCACGGCAGCCAGTGGGGGTTACCCCAGAGCCAGCAGCATAGAAACCAGCCAGGTACCCCCACTACGTCACACCCGTCAAACAGCAAAATTCCAAGCACGGTACAAATGCTCTATATTAGTTAAGCTTTGCAGCATCCTGTTGGAGGTAGATAAGTAGAGTTTGCCAGTATTTTTGGAACAAAAACTTTTCCTTGTCAAAAAGAACACCTGTAGAACAACACCTCCACCACATTATTGCCACAAAAAATGGACACATATTTTCATTTTTTCCACAAATGTTTTTGTAGCATAAAAATATTTTCAACAAAGAACGCTGAGGGAGAATCTCTACCTAATTTAATCCAGGTGGAGCCTGTAGTAGCAACTCTGGTTTGTACTTACTGTGTATCATATGACAGTGGACTACAGAAGTGGGGGAGATGCCAGCAGGGATGTCCAAAGATATGGGGCTACTATGGAGCTGAGGGAGACTAGAACAGCAGTTCTCAAACTTTTGGGGCTCTGGAGCCCTTTACATCCGTAAAAATTTATGCGGAGCCCCAGCGGTCCACTGCTTGTACGTGTTGTACTTATCAATGTTTCTAGTTTGTCCAGTTTGTCAACCTTGCGGAGCCCCTGGAGATGCCCTGGGGCTCCGCGGAGCACAGTTTGAGAAACACTGGACTAGAAGATCCTGGAAACAAGATGAGGGTCCAGGGTCCAGGGTCTCTGTGCAGACAACCCAGGCCTCTCTGGGAGCCCTTGATCTCCATTCTGTGGCAAATCTGTGTGTGTGGAGAGGAGCAGGGTTTGGAACCCTACCCTACTAGAATGGTCTAGAACCGTGGTTCCCAACACGGTGCCTGCGGGCGCCATGGCGCCCGCAGGGGCATTTCCATGCACCCGCCAGGTGCTCGGGGCTGGCCTGGCACCGGGCGCATGGTGGGGGGAGCGCCGGCCCCGGGCGCGCGGCGCATGGCGGGGGGAGCGCCGGCCCCAGGCGCGCGGCTATGGGGGGGGCGCACCCCGGGGCGCCAGCGTACACGGC